GTCTTAAAGATTCTACACATGATAGATTTAGTCTTTTCTTTTTTCCACCCAGGACCAAGCGATTATTTATCATGCTCAAAACACACGAAAGACACAATTTTTAGTGTTTTATTAAGTTTAAGAGTACACATTTTTTTATTGCAAGTAAAAACTGCCAGGAGGCCATCTCCTTCAGATAAACAGCAATCAGAAATAACATGTAAAGTATTACGACATATATTAATTTACCAAGCAATCGCTAATGGCAGAGTGTGGTTATGACAGTGTGTGGATATAATTAATGTCTAAAATACATGTTCAACACCGCAAATACCACAAAGATATGTTTCGGGGAACACATCAATAAAGTCCCCTCCATCCCCATGGCTACTGCTAACGCTGCTATTTCTGTAAATGTGTAAACGAAATGTCAGTGAAAGAAGGTAGGGCCACACATTGATTTTTCTGGCCTGAAAAAAAGTAGTGTGTCATTGACAAGGAGACATAATTTTAAAGTTACCAGCCATGGGCAAGCAATCCAGATAGTTAATTGTGTATATGGGGTGGGTGTGGGTGGGGTGTGTGTGTCTGAGTGTGTGTGTGAGAGAGAAGGGTGTTTGGATTAAATTGTTTTGACAGGCAGGCCTTTACCACCCAGACAGCTGGCCTCTAACTGCTGCAGTGGTTTATCACCTCCCATACAGAATCACCTACAAACACCCGACAGTGCTACCTAACACCCAAAGAGGCTTTATCAAGAGCCAAGAGAAAATCCCAGTGGCTCATAGCACAGGAACTACTGTGGAATAACTCCAACATCCTGAGCAATAAATTGCACATTTCCTTTCATGATATCACATATCAGTTTTGATGCCCGGCATCTAGCTTGGTCTGCTTCTACTGGCAGATGATGGAGCCTTCAAAGCTGCTGCTGGATTCACCTGCCGTCATAAAGCACTTATCAGGCCCAATATACTGAAATCTGCCGGTTCTGATGAGGTCCAGTAGACTCAAGGAGTTTAAATTGGGCTGGAAGAGGTCGAAATTGAAGAAATTGAATTTTTGTCCTGTTTTAATAATTAACACCAGCTGAATAAATTGACTCCATGTTTCTGCTGTGGATGTAAATGCTGTAAAATTACAGCCGAGAGTAAGCGCTTGAACAGCACAGTCACTATTTACTCCCAAGAGCTGTGGCACGGTGCCAACGTGTCACAAAGTATCACTGTCAAATGCATATATACAGAGCGTACTGCACGCACGCACACACACACACCCAATCACCACCCTTGTGTGCGAAAGGCTGCTTCACAACAGGAAGCAGAGCAGGAAAAGGTCTGCATCAGTAACCGTGGTCTAAAGTGGCACGAATGTCGCTCTACATTACAGAGCTAGCTCGCTTTTTAGAGCTGAGACAATGAACTGATTACCTGTTTAAAGGGTGCTCGCACACCTTACCTTCTTTATTATGGTACACTTTGCAGGCTTATATTTAATTTAAGATATCTTCCCAGAGTTCCGGGGAGCTATTGTCCTCCATTTATCATCGCTCTGCAAGATGAAAATCAACTGGAGCAGATCAGTGTAGATTTTTCCTGAAGTTATAAATGTTTAAGCAGTTACAGCAGCACATCATAACACACTTTTGTTTAGTCTAACACTTTAGAAGCTGTGTCCCTGTTGTGTGTTTTGGATGTAATTATGTCTACAGAGCGAAGAATCTTCATTAGTCCTTGGGCTCCACACGTGAGTGTCCCAGCAAACTTCACGGACATAAAGCTCTGTGTGACTCCAGGAACACCTACATAGGAGGGCTGTCCTTACTGTTAATGCTTATTTAAGATCATTAATCGCATGGAAACACCAAAGATTCACTTACGCTATGCTAGGGGTGTCAAACATAAAGTCCTGGGGCCAGAATCAGTCCGCTAAAGATTCCAATCTGGCCCACTGGACAGCTTTGGAAAATGTGAAGGAGGGGGTACATTTTTAGACTTTTAACTGTAGCTTCCTATGTTTTACAGCTTTTTCTACTGAGCTCCTCCATTCATGCTACACCAAAGTGAATAATTAATAGACAAACAATTAAATGACAGCAATGTCCTGTTCTTCCACTGTCAACAATAGAAACCTATGACTTTTACAATGGGCTGACAGTGGGAGGAAGAGGACAATCTGTCAATGAACACAACACAAATTCTCTGTTTTATAATAGAAGGACAGTCTGCACATTAAGCTAAGATCACTTATTCTGTAATTTTACAGACTTAGTTCTTACTACAGCATTTTTTTTTAATCATGTAGGAAAAACTGAGATATACTGCTGAAAGTTCTTCCTTTCCTTATGTTAAAATATCTCGGGGATTAAATGTGTAGCTAAACTTCTTCACACTGACAGACAGAGGAGTTTCACAGGTCTGGCCCACTTAAGATCAAAGTGGGCTGTACGTGGCCCAAAATGTAAAATGAGTTTGGCATCTCTGCTCTGTGAAGGTATTGAGTTCTGTGACAAATTCACAGGCGATTTTCCCCATGATCTCTCATTGGCCTGTATTTATATAGCGCTTTTCTAGTCCCTAAGGACCCCAAAGCGCTTTACATATCCAGTCATCCACCCATTCACGCACACATTCACACACTGGTGATGGCAAGCTACATTGTAGCCACAGCCACCCTGGGGCGCACTGACAGAGGCGAGGCTGCCGGACACTGGCGCCACCGGGCCCTCTGACCACCACCAGTAGGCAACGGGTGAAGTGTCTTGCCCAAGGACACAACGACCGAGACTGTCCAAGCTGGGGCTCGAACCGCCAACCTTCCGATTACAAGGCGAACTCCCAACTCTTGAGCCACGATCGCCCCTATCTCATTTTACCGAGCAGGACCAAGTTAGAATCACGGGTTTTCTTATCCTAAATTATAGTGCACAAGAGTCAACATATTTGCTGTTTGATACAATTAAATTAGGGCACGTGAACAAGTTGTGACACGTCACGCCACACGGAGGGAGACTGCACAGCCTACTGTCCTGCTTCCAAAGCGCACTTGAGCTGCATGCTCCCCAACTGCCAGTCAGTGGTCAACAGCCAGACCCGCACTGTGCAAGTCACTTCAGTTTGCAACTTTCAGTTCCACTTAAGAGTGAAAATGAATGGGCTGCTGAGCTGCGACCGTGGAGTGTAAGTCTAACACGCCCGGTGAATGCAACAAAAGCGGCATGTGCAGCATAAGCTGTGACAGAAAGGTAAGCTCTCTGAGGAGCCCCGGTTGTCCGGACTTTACCGGACGGTTTACGGTTTAGAAACATGGGAGGGACCCCGTGTGTGCACATGCGACCGCCGGCCAGACGCCGCTGAGTGCGGGCAGCTACATAAATAAATCCAGTGATAATACCTGCGCCACACACACCGCAGTGCCCCCTTATTATTATTACTAGCTGCTTAAATCTGGGCACCAAGTTCAGTCAAGGGCTGTCAACTTCCCTCCTGCACCTCCTGCACGGACAGGCTAGAAGACGCGGAGAGGAGGAGCGATTTAGATTTATTTTTAAAAAATAATTTCTCTTCTGTATTGAGGGATGGCACAGCGACGCACTTTAAATGAAACACACAAGAGGTTCGTGTGACTCACCAGCAACACCAACGTTAACATTTTCGCCTCTCTCATCCGACTCCCGTAGCGATTCCAAGAGGCCATGATGCCGTTGCCACGTCTGGATACGCAGGCGCATTCGCTTTTCCACGGATTCTTGAGCATGGCGCAAGGGTTATTGGGAAATGTAGTCCTGAGCGGGGGAGGCAGCAAAAGTCACGGGGGAGCTATTGCAGCTGCTACCCCCAACACACACACACACACACACACACACACACACACACACACACACACACACACACACACACACACACACAGGTTAGCACCGAGTGTAAGAACTGTAGTCTACGTGGTTTTGTTTTTATCGGACTAATGCAGACATACTGAAGGACAATTAATTACACGAGGGGCTAATTAGTAAATGTGCTTGTGATTGAAAGGATCTTAATTAGCTCTTTATCAATTGGACTTCCACTCCTGAAGAAAAATTGGCTTGATGAAATGTGCTCAACAACATCTGATTTAAGCAACGTTTGGCGCAAGGTGAATAGAATAAAATATAATAGAACAGAATAGATGTGGAGAATTGTAGAAAATTGCGTACAGTGATAACACTGTATAACGATAAAAAAAAGGGGCCAATCAAACACCCAGTTTAATCCATATACGTCAGTGAAGAGTAGAATAGAATAGAATAGAATGGAATAGAATAGAATAGAGCAGTGATGCTCTATAAACAAATGTTTCTTTCGGATGTGCCCATCAAGTCTTTTTTGACACTAAAGAAAACACATCTACAGCATAGAATGACAGTGTTTTCAGAATGGACTTTGACTTGCTCTGATGTTAACCTTATTGCCATCTTGAAATTCAGTAGTAAACAAATTGAAAAGTTTTGTTTGTTTGGTTTTACTTGCATGTATTGGTTGTTGCCATTGTAATTGGCCTAAGACATAGTTAAGAATTTCCTGTAAATTTTAGGCTTGTGGAATCTAAATAGACTAGAGTAGTAACAAAACAGAAAAGTGTATAACCATAACTTGTGTTCCCTGTTTAAGCTTTGCTGTTTACTTGCAAAGCAGGGGAACACTCACATTCCCAGTGGACCTTTATTGCCCGGTTACCCCGACGGCAGGTAGGCTGCTGTTGCATCCCAGACAACAGCACGCAGGGCAAACCTTTCCCAGAAAATCCCTTTGGTCTTTTCTTAACTCGGTGCGGCTGTTTCTGCACTGGACATAGGCAGTGTTGTGACACTCTTTTTGCTCTCCGGGGTGTCCGTGCGTATGTTCCTCCCGATTGCGCTTGCAAATCGGCCTCTTACTCCCCCCCACCCTCCTCACCACCCCCAATCCTCCACTCCTCCCCGCTCTCCCCCAACCCGGTGGTATCGTCCGACGGTAAAGAAGAGAGAGCGCAGTTGTCGGCTGCAGGTCTCTCGGAGAGGAACGCGCAGCGGCTGAGGAAACAAGACTAGAACCCATCTCTATTCTGGCTCCACAGCTTAAAAACTGCGACTGTGATTCTCTCCTTATCTCTACCTGGCATTCTCATCAACTTAGGGAATACAAACATCTTGCAAGGTAAAAGAAAAATCACTTTTCCATTCTTTTCCACTGCAAAATACCTGGGAGGACTAATACAAAGCACTTTTTGGGTGTGTTGTGCACCAGTTTCCAGCTTGTATCCCGCTTCAGATTTACGAAATGGATTGCAGTTCGACTTTGACTGAGGTGTTTGATTTTTTTTTCATATTAAAGGCAAATCAGCACAATAGCCTGCTGCAGCTTAGCTGACCTGCACAGATAAAATAAATAAGGGACCCTCCATCACTAATGGATTGGCTACTCGAAAGCTTTATTCAGCCATGCTGTGGGGTCCGTTTCTCTGGACCATTTTTCTATCAGAGCGGGGTTTGAGCGGTGGGGCTGTGTTTTTATCCTAAATGTCAGACACTTTGCGGATATCCTCTTTTTCCCACTTTAACTGCTTGAGGCAAAGTGATTTGTCCGTTGATATAGCGTGTTATTCAGAGCTGCTCCTTTATGTCTCGCCAGTTTTACTTTCAACTCACGTTTCATCCCAGGATCAGAGGCGCATTTGTGGGCTGCAGGAGCTGGCTGTGCCTGCCACATTAGCACTGCCTCAAACTTACTTTGTGCTGCACGCTGTCCTGTAGTCCCGGTAAGAGGCAAGACGTGGACTTAAAAAGCAACCTTGTTGGGAAACTTGTTCCCGTTGTTAGGAGATATGCTTGGGAAGGAAAGTGCATTTTTTGGGAGATTGTGCGCCTGGTCGGCATTTCTCTTTTTAAATATTTGTGTGCGCGGTAACCCAATTTGGCGGTTCAGAAGTTTGGTGTAAAATCGACCACCCTGTCTTTTCTTCCCGACTGTGCAAGTGAATTTTATTGTCTGACTTAAAGACGGCCAATAATGACCTCATTGCTCATCACTTCCGATAACAGATTAACAGCTTTTACGCACGGGTTGAGCAGCCTTGCGCACAACGATTCGGGTGTTTTGTTCTTTCCCAATCCCAGGAAACGTTAGTGAGGCTAATTCTGCACGAGAACACTCAGAAAATATTCATGAGCTTGTCACTTGGATGAATAGCTTCTCCATTTCTCCCCGATAAAGACACTTCAGATTTGTAATAGTTTAAATTGTAAAGCTGTCCAGGTAAAAGCGCCTGAGGCTGTGGATTTCGAACAAAGAGATACCCTATTATAAAAGAAATAGGTCGATTTCATTTTGCGTAAATTTGAGTTGATTATCCTGAAATGATTTGTCAAGAGCTCCAAAGCGGACCGTGTTGTAGCAGAGCAACAGAGGGCAGTGTTGAGCGGCACTGTACAGCTGTGGCGACACCTTGCCAGGTAACGTCTGCTGTAGAGTTACAGACAATCTGCACGCACACAAGTTTGGTCAAATGAGCACGCAAAGAGACTTTCATGAAGTATTGCTTGATTGTTTTTTCTTTTTGTTTTAATCAGTCGATCAAATGCCAAAAGCTTACGCACAAACTTTTATCTGGAGACAGTTCACTGAGAACAGTTTTCAGAGAAATTTTGTGGCTGGAATTTTTAAGGCTTAAAATATTAAATCTTATTACCCCCCCCCCCCCCCCCCCCCCCCCCCGACCAAATTAATCAAACAGCTTATTCAACTGAAAGCTATTTTCCTGCAACAGCGACTATCATCACTGGGCTCTTGGTAGTTTTTGTGGTGCTGCACTCTATTCATCTGTAGCTTTTTAAAAAAAATGTTTTTATTGAGCCCCAGTTGTTCAGTTTCTTCAGTATTGTAAATTAATGTATTATTCATTAACACTCAAATATGCACCATGGCTGGTGTGAGTTTTGGCAAAGGTGATGATATAATCCTTTTTTAATGCAGCTTGTTTTTTTTCCATACAACAGACAAGAAAAAAACATATTTAATATCCTCAATTAGCTACAATTAGTAATCCACTAAAGACAGCTTCATAGTGGTAATTTCCCACTTCCCTTTCTGTGGAATAACAAGGAGCAACCCCATCACAATCCAGTTATAATTGATCACTTAAACTGCCGTAACAAAAGAATTTCCCAAATATGGGATGAATAAATTTGCCACATCATCTTATTTCATCTCATCTGATCACCAACCCCCCGTACCCTACATTGGCATAACTATTGCTTTTATTTTGTTCATTCATCAATATGTGTGAAACTACCATATCTCCCTCATCTTTTGATTGATATTCATCCATTTGACAGGTTTTGTTAGGCCCAGATGCTTGTCATATGGATCATTAACGCTTTTGTTATTTGGAGAGCTGTTTTTAGTATCCTGGGTCACTCCATTCAAATGGAAAGTAGGTTCATCTTTGATGAATTTATGAGGGCTCTTGACAGGTCCTGGTGGGGCAGAATCAGACCTGCCAAGCAGAAAGAGATCCAAAAAAAACCAATCCCAAACTGGATAACCTCCCTGCAACCTATCCCCCTCCAGCTATCCTCTTAGAACTACTCTACGTTCACTTTCCCCTTCTTTCTCATTTTCCATGTAACTACAGCGTGTGGAAGTGTTTTGTTTTCCCAATGTTATCCAGGGGTCATGTATCTCCATGGCATCTAATGGCGACATAAATAATTCATTTCCATTACCAAATATGATAGGTGTGGAATAGACGAGCTGGCGGCCTTTTCATCAGATTTTTAATGATGCATATTTAGACGGGGCCAAGTGAGATATTTCTGTTGTCGGGCATCATTTGAGATGCGGTGAACAGATATGAAAGTTTAATGTCCGGAGAACTTGATCTCTCCTCTCCTCCGCCTGACGAGGATGAAACGCTCAATATGGTCTGACCATCGCAGGTGCGCGAGTGTTGCCGTGAGCACGTCTCGTCTAAAGCGATAACAGACGGATACAGATAAGAAGTGTGATTGTGTCAGGTTTGATGCCACTTTTCTCGCGCAGTTACCCTTCATATAGCTCCAGTTGTATAAAAATGGAAAAGGAGCTTGAGGGATAAAAATAACAATAACTCTTGCTGTTGACAGACTGTTTTGTCATTTCAAGGTGTAGGTTTTCACCATCCAAGAAACCAAGGTAGAGAGTGGAAACTGACAGCTTTCACAGAGCGATATCTCTGCTGTTAGTCTGTCATTCAGCTGTTTGACTTTTCATGCACGCCAAACAAGCTGTCCAGGACATCTGCTGCCACCCGTGTGAACCACACCTCACTTCATTTATGCACTCTATCATCTTATGTCTTTTTTGAACCCTGACTTGAGAGTTCCAACAAAAATAAAAACACCCCCAAAACCAAAAACCTATCTCTGCACTTTCAGGAAGGATGCCTTTATGGTTACAAAGTAATGAGTGGTTTGCAGGGGTGCACAATTCTGCCTGTTGGTCCTTATTTTGCACCCCTTTGTGTGTGTATGTGCGTGTCCTTGCTATGTGGAAGTAAAGAAAAGAGATTTTTTACAGTTTTAAAGTGGCCTTCTGGAGCAGGATTCACATGGTAATCAGGTCAGGGTGCACTGAGGAAAAACAAAGCTGTCCAAAAGCAGAGAGAGGGTCCAAAAGACGTGCTGTTTTCTTTCTTTCTTTCTTTCTTCATTTTTTTGTTAAGATATTTCAAGGAGTGTGAAGAGACACATGGAGAGATGCTGCCTTAAAGTGGCTCTGTATATTCAGAACACTGCAGCCACATTGGAGTGTCTGTTGCTCTCTGTTATGTTAATATAACGCCAGATTTGAAATAACAGCGTCAGACACTATGATTTGAGGTGGCAGCCCTCGCCTCAATACTCGCCGTGGTCTTTATACTGAGAATACAGAGCTCTGCTGCCTAGTCACCTGAATGTGATTATGTTGTCCCACAGTACTGACATAAATGTTGCCATTTTCCATTCACACACACACAGACACACACCGAGGCTCGATTGAGGTCCCGAGCCTCATTTTATTCAAAATGAAATCATTCCTCAGCTATGTGACAACTTAGAGAAACATTCAAATTTTGGCTCAGGCTTGTTTCTTGCTTTTTTTTGTCCTTTTTTTGAGGTTGATGTGAGTGTTTTGTGGCCAATTTTACTGTCAGAAACAAACTGCAGCTTGACAGATGCACTTTGCCTCACCGCCGCAGCAGCACCCTGATGAGAATCTGCATCAGATTTTTTTTAGCTCAGTCTTTTGTTAATGACAGACTCGGTTTGAGGAGGAACGTGTACTTGCAATAAGCAGACAGTTTGAGCCGTCAGCAGAGGGAGGCCGAGCGGTCTGAGCTGGTGGGTGGAAATGAATAATTCCACAGTGTCTGTCTGGGTCCCCTCAGCCTCCCCAGATCTCATTGTTTCTGAATGCAGAGTGTACTTGGCGTGGCCTTCACTCACGCTGTCTGGCTGTTTGTAACCTGGCCTTTCTCTGCATTGACAGACAACCTCGTTGTCTGTGAAATCCAGTACGGCAGCAACGTCTCTGCCCCCTGTCTGCAACCCTGCTAATTAAAGCTTGATGCGACCCAACAGTCTCAATTTGTCTGCGGAACGTTATCATCATTGTTTCCTCCTCTGCTATTTACAAACAAGGAGAATAGAGATAAAAATGGAAAGCCTGTCAAGCAGGAGGGGAAACTTGATTTTTTTGAAGCTTTAAATGATTATTGGAGTTTAAAATTAGCATGCAACAGATTATTCTTTTCTTATTTTCCATATGTGAGAATTTGCTGCTTAGCTTGTTGGCTGAAACATTTAAACTTTGGTCTTGGGGAGCTAGTGATGAACAGCCTCCACATTTTCTAAGAATTTCCAGATGAAAAGGATTAATTGGTTAATAAAATTAATAATTAATTAATAATAAAAAACAATTAATAACAGGTGTGGTTTGAATAAAGGCGACTCTGTTCCTCATTTGGAGGGCAGCTTTTAAACTGGATGTGCATTCTTCCCAACATGAGAATATTCTGGGATTTCTGTCTTTTTCCACACGTTCTCATTGTTACCCCTCTTGGCCATTAGACGAGGTGTGCGAGAACGCGCGTCGTGAGCGAGCGTGCGCTCATACGCGCATGTGTGCATGTCTGAGCA